AAATTATAGTATTTCATCTTCTTACCCGATATTTTGTAAAAGAATTTTTTCTTAGCCTACCCTACCCGATCAAGTATACTATTCCTACCCAAATTTCGTCCAAAACAATCAGGTAGGAAGTCGGATAAGAAATCGAGTTAACACATATTTTTTAGTTATTAATTTTTGGATCATTTTAACAATTTAATTAAGTAACCGACACCAATTAACTAACACAATAAACCAATAACACTAAAGAAAACACAATAAATTCGATAATACATAAATAATTACAATAAAACACAACAAGTCATAAAAATTAATGCATCATATATAAGAAAGCCATAAACATTAATGAAACATTAGGCTTTCTAAATTTTTAGATTTTAATTTTAAGGATTATATATATATGCGGGTAGGGTAAAGTAGAAATACAAAAATTTTATAGGTATTTTATATTCCTACCCGAATTTTTTGAATAGCCGATCAATATGATCAAATAGACTAGCGTAAAATCAAAATTTACGGATAATTAAAATTTTGAACGACCCCACCTGGTTCTTTGGGTGTTTTTGGAGTGCTCACAAGCCCATGCCTTATTACTCACCCAAAAAATGAGCATCCCTTGCTGGGTGCCTGCTTTATTAATGAGCCCAAAGATGAAAATGGCCTTAGATTGTCTGAGAGCAGCCCAAAGAAGAGAGACAAAATCTTCTTTGGCAAAAACTCATGCCTGTACTAAGATACAAGCAGTTCTTATGGTTACTCTTGGATTGCTCTAATATACACGTCCTCGACTACTTTAAGGCAAATCGATCTTAAGAAAGATAAGAACATTGCTTACTTTCCAGTAGCTCATGTGAACTGGTGCCTATTGGATTAGTTGGACAACGGCGTTTAGGTCACCTATTTTCAATTATAAAAACACAAGGCCAAGGCGTGTGTCGGGGGTGTGACAAATGCACCTAATAGCAATGGGGGAGAAAACATAGTATGTCACATTGGATGCATAGAAGACCCCAAGGAGGCTTCATATAGATTATAGGATAATGGAAAATTGGCAATACATACAAGACAAGCAAATAGTGCATTTAATTAGTTAATTAACCAAGAAACTTTTAGACCAGAGGCCAGGTACGTACTAATGATGTCTGGCTCTTGAGAAAAGACCAGATGTTAGGTACATATGATTTGGAGGCTAGGTACATATGATCACTGACTATTGACAAAGACCAAGTGTCAATGACAGCGATCGCATAAAGAGCAATTCTACTGTGGGAAGCAAAAGCAAGTTTTTTTGTTTTTAGAAAGGTGGGAGCAAAAGCAAGTTGCAAGAACCGTATCCACCAACCCACCAACTGAGTTAAGTTTATAGGTCAACAAATCGTTTTTTTTGATTTGACACCACACAGATTTTGACTATGGAATAAGGTTTGGGACCCTTGATTCTTCGGAAGGTGGGAGCAAAGCAAGTTGCAAGTGAAGGCATAAAGCTGGCCTTTGCAGATTGGGGCATGGCTAGTCCCCCCTTCCCACTGATGAAAATGAGCCCCCGGCTACAGGGGGATTCAGTATGTAGTAAAAGCATGAAGCAAGTCTCCAAGATGTGGCCTTGAAGAATTAAGTTGCAAGAATCGTGAGAGAAAAAGAGAAGCAATTAAAAAGAAGCGATTATATGGAGGACTTACTAAGATGGGTCGTCCACATGTAGGGGAGTTGTAGCCGATTTGGCCTTCAAGTCCTACAACGAATTAATAGAGTATCAAATATGGATTAACAAACAAGAGCAAAACAAAACAAAAAGATGCATTAATATTACATTAGATGGCCTCATTATCTACAAGTCTAACTTGTTTAGGCTCATCCCTTGTATGGAATTTGATTCCTACAAGTAGTGACAAAAGACTACAAAGGAAAGGGCATAAAAGTTATAATCTACAAAACATATTTTAATAATAATGATATTAAGAAAATTTATTCCGATATTCCTCCCTTCATACCTTGATGTCTTGCGTTGGATTTGCTATGATCTGCTTATACTATCTTCCTTTCCTCTACCATCACTAAGCAAATCCTGCTTGCTAAACTGTCACCAATTTCAAAATACGAATCAACAGCTATGATAATCAATAAATAGCAATAGAACCTATGTAAACAACCTCCAGATCAGATGTTCCATATACCAAAAACCTGCCAATGTGCATTGAATTTATAGCTAAACCTTAATGCACGACTAAATTAAGTATATATAACACAACATGCAACGTAACAAACAACTGAGAACAACAAACCAAACATGCTGAAATTAGGAAGCTACTCAGACAACTGGGAAGGCCAAGTGATGGTATGTTTCAGATGTTACATATTTTTCCTTACAGAGAACTTTGGTAGTGCAATGCCAGTCTAAGTTTCAAACACCATGAATATTGATTGAACACATCCAAGATCTCACCACAAGTGGTGAGCTGAAGTAATATCTTCAGCTACCTCCACAGAAGGAGCAGCAAGGTTCAATTTAAAAATGGAAAATGGACGCATATTCGTTACTAGTTAACATCACCCAGGCATAACACATACCTCACACAGATGACAAACTTATAATATTACTCTGAAAAAAACTTTATAAATATGATATTGCATTCCATATCTTCCATATTCTTTCAAAATTTCCAACTCATCCATGTAAATCTTGTATGAATCGACCTTCAGCTTCTTCACAGTACAACCGCTGAACATCTTATTGTAATACACCTGTTCAATAAATGTAAACCAATTTTTTCTCATACCACTTGAAAGGACACAAAACAACTGCACATGATTGGGACAGTTAATGAACACTTTGTGCGTTGAAACACGTGAGAGAAACAATATCCACCACAATCAAACTGATCAGACGGCAAGCGCTCGGCTCAAAGGGCCGAAGTTCCATAACGGCTGAATCAACAACACTACGCGTCAATAACCCGTTATGGAGATCCATCAATAAGCAAGAAAGTTAGACGAGGATGAATTGAGAAAAATATTGCCTCGATCAAAAGAAAACATTTGGCATATTGTTACACACAAGAATTCCTGCAAATTACTTTGTTTTCTTTTTAAGTCATTTTTGACTTGGGCATCGGAATGCCTCGTACCGGCCTACCCCAATTTCTGGCAGTTTGGTTGTTTTGTAGAACCAACAGTTTAATTCTTATTCATCTTCCCCAAAAATTACTCTAAGAGATTTTGCTTCTTACACCACTATTACACCTAGAGATACAATAGAAAGTTTCCTTGAACAAAAGGACAAAAAGAAATAGCATGTAATTTAGATAGAAACAAAAGAGGCAAACAAAAGTGGAAAGAATGTTTAATCACTTCTAAGATGTTCAAATTAAAGAAAGAAAAAGTATGTGTAGGGGATTTATTCGCGCGTTCGGCATGTCTTCCCCCTACGGAAGGATTTTGGCTGACCTGGCGTAAGCCTGAGCTTTGTGCCAGTAGCTTTTATCTCTCTTCGGCCCGCAGGAGCGCGTTCGTCCTACATCGGAAGAGAGTCGTCTTCCCCTTGCCATATAAGCTCTGGGACGTAATGGAGGAGGTACCCACCAGCCACTTGAACAGTTGGCGAGACTCTAGGTGGCTCTACAACCCCAGGTTGACACGTGGAATTATGAAGTCGATCGGAAGTCCAAAGGGTGCCGAGATGGTAAGTTGAGGTATGGTGACACGAAGCAGCTAAGTACGAGAACTGACATCGTATTTAATGCGATATGACCCCTCATTTATGGCGAAATGAGTGATAGTGATAAGACAAATAAATGCGCGCCTGCCAGCACCTGTCCTCTGGAGTCTAAGCCTACTGTCATGATGACTAAGTATTAATGACTGATGCGCCGAGACGACGCAATCGGCTCTCCCGAGGAACTGTTCCTCCTGAGTATTCAATGATCAGTTGCTGTCAGATGCCGATCTGCGAGATTTGGGTACTCGGGGAGTGGCATAAATGTTCAGCACATGGCCGAGCATTTACCCCATTTTCCTAGCATTCAATAGGAAGAGACGTGAATAGAAAATACTCATTGCACAAGGAATGGTATGTCAGATATAAGATGTCCAGATGAAACTGAAGATCTTTGGCAATAATTACTAATTCAGGTATAAATACTCCTCAGAAAAATGGACAAAGGTACGCAAACTTGAACTAGAAAAATAGTCCATTAAGCAAAACCCTTCGATCTTATACTGACTTAAGCGTCGGAGAGGTTTAGCCGGGCACACGTCTGGCCCCCTTTTTTCTAATCCTATTGTTTCAGGTTCGTCAACTTGAAGATCGTTGCCTCATTCGATTGCAGGAATTATCCCGTGAAGTATGCATTTATTTTCTTCTTGATAGCAAGGACGCTGTGTAGTGTGTAGGCATCACATACAACATATAATGTCTCATAGGTAAAAATTAAGAATGTGCAACAAAATAACAGCAATTGTAACTTTATCTAGAGAAATTATTCCTGTACTCCATAATTTGGACAGTATAATTTGAAACAAACAACATAATACATAGAATATCATCACAACACATTTCCTACCAAGAGATTATGAAATAATAGCTCTTCTTTTTGGGACCTCCACAAATACGAAGACTTTGAGAGATACATTTTACGGTTTCAATGTTTCACCACGTAGATCTGAAGATAGAATACTTATTAAAAATACCACCTACTCCACCACCACTCAAAACGAAAATTCTGAATCATTTGCTACAAATTAAATTCTTATCCATGTGCCAGTCATTAAAGATTACACAAATACTGAAACAAGCGATGCAGCCAAGCTTAAGTGCAACAAATATGTAAGAGAAAATATGATACACAGTATGCATGCAGCGAAGCAGACACTTTCTCACAACATACAAGACAGAGAGGGAAAGCGAGAACCAACATCACCCATCATCCTTAGAAGTTGTGTTTATCGTATCCTCGGAAAGGCTAATCGCATCCTCGGAAAGCATTTACAGCATTTCAATAACAAAGAAGAGAATTTTCCATTGAACTCGAGTCATAGTAATTACATAAGTACTGGTTGGGGATAGAGATTGCAAAAAAAAAAAAGCCAAACCTGAAAAAGAAAGTCTATCTTCTTTCCTATTTCTGAGGCTTTTCTCTTTAAACACCCTGTGATTGGGTATCATTACATTAATTTCTATAGTATGGACAATCCATGACAATAACAAAACTAAAAAACCTCATTCACAGCCACGAATTTCATGGATAGTCGACCGCAGCATCTCGTCCCCGACAACTGATCGTAACCCTTTCATGAAAATCTCTTTCCTTAATTTTTTTTCCTGTGAACCAAGTTCATCAAGAATCATTATCTTCGCTTCTCATGCAATATCACAAAATAGGTAACATAGAAACTTTGAAAAACAAAATTCAATCGGCATTTACCTTAAATATATTGCATAAGGTTCGCAATTCCCGAATTTTGGCAGGAGGGAGAGAACTTTCCAGCTTGGAAAATAACTTTCCAACCAACGGCAATGCACGAGGGACCCACTTCATAGATGATGATCCATTAAATTGACCTAAAATGTAATGAAGGAAAACTAAGTTTCCCAAATTGACATTGAGATGCATAGAAGGCAAACGCAGAGAGAGAACAAAATTTACCGGGAACACTGAGAGAAGATTTGTAGCTCACAACGCACTCGGGAAGAATATGAGTGTTCATGTTTGCACACCACACCACATACCACTTGGGATTGTTAAGATCATCCACCCCCGTATCAAAATCAACACCCGAAGGATACAACTGCCGAGACCCTGCCGGGACCTTTTCACATTTGCCCAATATAACTCGACAGAGAATAACATGCTTTTCGCCATTATCGTCTACCTCGGATAAAATTGTACTGAAACACAATTCAACAACCAATTATATAATCAGAAAACACATTATCATTCTTGCCTAATCCCAACGAAAAAAATTAATCATGTAAACAACATAATTTGAAATAAAAGTAAAATATAATATTATTCTTTACAAACTTCAATAAAAATCAAATCACATGGCTCTTTTGGTACCTAAATTATATCTGTCAATTTAATATATGAATTTTATCCATTAGATCTTAAATTAAACAATTTATGTTTTGATCCATTAAGTATTTTGACGAAAGTGATTACCAATTATTCTTTCTAAGAGTATCCGTGATCATTTTCATTAAAAATTTAACCGATCATCTGTGTGTTGGGTCTATTTAAATACAAACTAAATATTTTAAGACTAAACTAATAAAATTGATACAATGACGATCAAACAAATAAAACGCATATACGTTCAAGACCAACAATGATATTAACCCATTAGATAAAATTAAGAATGTCAAACGTTTCGTGTTCGTGTGACTCACATGTCAGGACCCACAGAAAAAAAGTCTATTTAATATTTTTTGAATATTAAACATTAATTTAAATTATTTATTATATGTATTTAAGAATGTGTTAATTTTATAATCGTTCGTATCAAATTTATGTCAATTCTAAGTTGATACGCCTAGATAAAATTGTAAAACCTACCTACCTTGTATGAGGTGACCTTACAGGAGACAAGTAAACACCAACACCATGAGCTTCAGAACCAGAAATCTTGCTGGGGATACTAAACCCATGAGTCAAAATGCTCTCCAAGCCTTTGGCCGACGTCCCATGCCAAGCGAACACCATATTGGAGTCTCCTCTAGCAGCCTTAACAATCTCCATCTGCTTCTGGAAAACTTGGGACCGAGCTCTATCCAATGGACTAGTTCGTAGACACTGATGAATCGCAGTAATTGTAGCACCAGGCTCAACAATTCCTAACCAATTCAAAAACAAAGTTTTCACAATAGAATTTGCCTTTTCTCCTTCTTTCAACAACTTCGCCTTCGGCCACCTTGGCGATTCCGAATCAACTACAACCAATTGCCGCCTCTTCGTTCTGAGACCTTCATAATTTGACGAACTCCCCTCCGTATTCACTTGTTTCACTACTTCAGATTCAAATTCCACGCTCTTCCTCTTCCTCTTAATGGAATCGGAATTCGAATTTCGAATTCCGGCAATAACTAGCTCCATCTCAACCTTCACATTCTCGGAGCCTAAATTTTCCCTCACATTAGCAATTTCAGATTTCGGATTCTCCGGCAAACTCACAATATCAGTACTCGTATTTCGTGAAAAATCCTCGAACTCTCCACCGCAACCTCCACCACCGACCAAAACGTTGGGGAAAAAACACCTGTTGTTAGCATCAATCCAAGCAATGGAAATTTGACTCCCAGACTCAAAATCAATTTGCACCATCCGATAAAAATCAAATAAGAATTTATTACCGTCAATTGTAACCTCTACCACTGGCTGCCCCACCAAGAAACCCGATCTCAGCGAACCAAAAACCTCTTCTGGAAAATCAATCCACGATCCATCCAAACAGTACAAGAACCTAACCGGTAGACCACTCCGCTTGAAATTCGAGTAATTCTGAAGCAACATTTCTGTCTGCGAATGATGACAACAGTGCTTGCTAGGATTCGCCGAAGAACACGTCGCTGGGGACGAAGACGATGATAAGAACAGCTTTGAAGGAACTCTAACGCTAATTCTATCAACAATGGTTCCGGACTGATGCTTCTGATTCTTCATCATCATCGTTTTCGAACTCAATGGCTTCGAATCTTCGCTGGACGATTGAGAAGCTCTCAATGCTAATCGAAAGGGAACTTCTGGATTCGAATGCTTTTGCCGCCTCTCCATTTATAGCCGCCTGGGAAATACCTTACAGGGAGTGAATTTACTCTTGAGTCCTCCGTGAAGTCCGTAAGGAGAGATATAATTGTGGTGGATTAGAACTGGGGGTGGGTGTTTTGGTCATTTCACGAGGTGAATGCGGTGCCAGATGCCTGACTAAAATTCGGAGATAGAGACAACGACGTGTTGAGAACTTGACTTGCGGGTTAAGGAAGTTAGGTTTAGCTAAATAACGGCTCTTCTGAGTTGGATTGTCGTTTTTAGAATTACTTAGGCCCGAAGAAAATTGGGAAAAAGACTAAAAAGTCCACCATATGACTTTTCTTTCTTCAAAGTTGACAGTAGGAGGCCTGTCAATCGCGATCTGATAAGACGAGTTCTTTGAGCGAGTTTGTATAAAAAAATATTTTATTTATATTTAATTTATTTATTAACTTTTATCTAATAAATCGTATTATATTAAATTCATATCGTATATAATCAATATATGAACAAGATGAATCGTGTCGTGTCGTGTCGGATCCACTTGTTTTCAAAATAAGTGTCCTAAGAAAAATTAAAATCTTTCAATTTTTGTATCGTATTAAGGATCATGTCATTTTTGTATAAGCCATAATCGTTTAAAGTCATTCTTGACTTTTAAATGGTTATCAAATAGAGTTTGATTCACGGGAGTAACAAGACTTGTTACTTGTTTTGGTAATTCTGTGGTGACCGCCTTTCCAAGTTGCTGCCTATGGCTCAAATTGAATATTTCACATTAAAAATTTTCATGGTCACGTCTAAAGTTGTTATTATCTATTAATCGTTCATCTCTTTTTTTTTAAAAATAATAATAATAATACAGATGATATAATATTTTGACATTTAACTTGACAATTTGCATGGGGTTCAGTATTCTATTCCTTTCAATGGTAGGCTATGAAATTATAAAAAATTAAAAGGAAGATTAAAGAGTTAAATGAAAGGAAGAAGCTTCTTGACTTTATCTTTTGAATTTTGTTCTCTAGCCATTTGGAAGATGGGATCCAATTCAAAGGTAAAGTTCCAAATAAAAGGCAGTGAGTGAATATATGATGGGGGTACTTTTTATCTTTGGCTGATTAGATTCTTTGGCACATAATAAAAAGGTTCAAATTAAACATAATTATAAAAAAGTATACAAAAAAAAAATATTTTAGAAAGAAATACACTGTTGAGAAACAAAAACGTAATTGCCTATTTTGAAAAATTTTAACCGCTAAAATTTAAGGACATTTATTTTCGAATATCTTTATCCTAAAAATTACTTTCTTAAAACGATTTTAGGAATATATCTTAATTAATTAATTATATACAGAATGATAATGGTTAACCGCTGAAATTTAGGAATATTTATTCGCGAAGCGTTTCATCTTCAGAAAACGTTTGGGCTTCTTCTTCCTCTCAAAAAACCACTTCACCCTCTTCAGAGATAAGCCTTAAAATTGTTCCTTAAACATCTATAGGGTTTTGTCTTTGAAGGAAAAATCTTATTGTTCATCCCATTTAATGTAAGATCGTCAAGAACATCTATTTTTTGAAGATTTGTTTGTCATTTGAAGATACGTACGAACTTCGGTATTTGAAGACCAGAACCAATTGTTAAAAATCGATCATTGGCTTGTGTGAAATATGATGTTTCTATTATATTAATTCATTGTGTGTGTGAATAAACTGTGTGTATCTCCTAACTGCTGACTGTGTTTCCCCATAGTATAACAATACACTGTAACAAAGACAATGTTCAATGATTTTGTAGATGTGGTAACAAATTCAAAATAGAGATGGACTGTTTGAATGAAATTATATGTAAATATATATTTGACAAAATATAATAGTACAATATTTTATATAAGTGTCTTATTATATTGTTATTGTTACACTATTATGGTGTTTGCATATTAAAAAACATAATAATCACCTTTAAAATGACAGACATAAACCTAATGGAATCATAAATTCAAATCTTGTAATTGCTTAGATTGAATGATAAGGATGAAATAATATTTTCAGACTTGCATTGATAAAATGGCTTCCAGGTCGAAGAAGAAGAAGATAACAAAAGATACTATTGAAAAATTTAAAATTCAAACCAACTGATTTATCCTCAAAATAAATGGAAGAATCAAATCTTCCATTAAATTAGAAGATTTTTAATACACACATTTATCCTTAAAAAAAACGAAATGATCAATTCTTCCATTAAATTAGGAGATTTTTAATGCATACATATAATATGAAAAAATAAATCAATTTTCAAAAATAAATCACATGAATTAAGGGAGGACACAAATATAAAAGAAAAATATGAAAATTTCAAATTATGTACTTAGACACAAATAAAAACTAAAATTAAAGACTTTTTTACTCTACATTTTTTTTGTGTATTTTTTTACAATTAATTTCAATTTGATATACCTCCTTCCAATTTACCGTAATAAAAACTCCTTAGTGTAGCCCACCAATGTTCTCCAATGCAAGGGTATAGTCCATATGTTTTGCATTACTTTAGTTTGATGTTATTTGACAATATTTAGAGAATCGCAATTCTATTTCTAGTGGTAAACTATAACTTATAATGATCTAAATAATTTTCGGTAGTCATTGAGGGCCGTATACGAAATTTGATGTCATAGTATGGCTGACCCGTCGTGTCTAGGTTAATGTGAAGGCATAAATACTTAGATAAGGTTGGATATAAAAATATGGAGTACACTATCTCATGGGTGATATTTTTATTATTAAATTATAATATCACGTAGTATATATTCGTGATGATATGTCATCATCATTATATCAAAGTGAAAGGATATAAAATGACTCTACGTGTTTAAAATAGTTAATGACGTCACATGTCCTAAAACAAGTAACAAAAAACACGTGAGGGGGGCACATGGGAAAATTCAACGTCCATCGCAATCGACTGAGCAGCTAACTGATAGTCGACTTGACAGGGCGAGCTATCAGGACAACTGAACCAAAAGTAAGACCGAGTAGAGCACATAAATAGTCTTTTAAACGAAGATCCTTCGTCAAGATAGTTAGTTAGGGGTTGAATTGATAAGAATGTTGCCCAAATCATAGGAAAACATTTAGCACACCCTAACAAATATGCCAACGAGAAAAAAGTTTAAGAGAAATCCTGACGTCTAAAGGGATTCAGCTGAGAATTAGGATTGTGTTTATTAAAACTTAGGGGTGCAATTTGGTTTGAGCAACCCGATTTCAATCCGAGCTCAACCCGAAAAAATTAGGGTTTGGACAAGAATTTTTAATACTTGGGTTGAGTTTGGGTCAAAAAATCTCAACCTGAATTTAATTTGGGCGGGCCTCGGATTGATCCCTCGAGTTCACAGGTTAAACCCGAATATTAAAATCGGGCTCAACCCGAATTAATAATCGGGTTCAACCCAAATTACTATTATATAAATATAATTTTTGAGTGTTATGTAATATATTTGAATGTTATGTTTGTGTTTTGTTTAATTGGTTGTTGGTTGTTAAATTATGTAATATATTTGTGTTATACTTGAAGTTGTTGGTTGTTAAATTATTTGAATATTATGTAATATATGTATCAGATTTAGAATATTAACCCAAATTAGCCCGCAAAATAATCGAAATTTAACCCGAGCCCGCCCGAATTAAACTCGGGCAGTGCTTGGGTTGAGTTTATCAACCCGAGGGTTAGGGTTAAAAATTACATACCCAGGGTCGAGTTAGGATTGACTGTCCAACCCGTCCGAGTTGCACCCCTGTTAAAATCGAAAGTTGAAGTCTGAAAATTGAAAGGTGAAGTCTGAAAGCTTAAAGCTGAATGCTGAATTTGTGGACTGTTTGGTATTCACTGAAATTTAAGTACTGAATTAAACCAAACTATTTGATAACTACACAGAACTGACGTTTGAAAATAAATTAATTTCTAGTTTTACCCTTCTACTCTTTAATTTAAAAATATTTATAAAATATGATTTTATCTAATAAAAAATGACAATATATCAAATCAATTTAATTCATAGCATAAATCATAATCACTATTATTATATTGTAGTATACATTTAACAAACATGATAAGAAAATTAAGTTAAGTTAAATTAATCACTTATAGCTACCAATTGTCATAAATTTTGAAAATTACAACTAGGATACAAATAGAGAGTTTAGTGAACAATAACAAATTAAATAATACAATAACTGACCGATAACATCTGATCAAAAAATAATATCTGAATAACACAATAAGTGAATAATAATATCTGTTAAAAAATAACTAATAATCACAACTAAAAATAAGTAATAATCACAACAGTACACAACAATAAATTGAATAACACAATAACTAAACAATAAAATCTAATCAAAAAAATAACAACAGCAAATAAATAATCGAATCACAATCAGTGAACAATAACAATTAAATAACATCTGACCATAAAAATAACATCTGAATAACACAATAAGTGATCAATAATATCTAATAAAATAATAATAAATAATAAATAATCGAATAACAATAAGTGAATAATGATAAATTGAATAACACAATAATTGAACAATAACATCTGATCAAAAAAAAAAGAACAACGACAAATAAATAATCGAATCACAATCAATGAACAATAACAAATTAAATTACACAATAAGCGAAAAATAACATCTGATAAAAAAAAGAATAATAACTAATAAATAATCGATAACAAAAATTAAACAATAATAAATTGAATAACACAATAACTGAACAATAACATATGATTAAAAAAATAAATTAATTAAAAATTAAATTAAATCTCATTAATAATATGTGTGTGTGTGCGCAATTTGTGCTTGTGTATGGGTGGTTGGGTGGGTGTGTGTGCAGTGCTTGTCTGTGTGTGCATGTGTGGGGGTGTATAACTATGTGTGTGTGTGTGCGCGCGCACTGAATATGTGTTTGTGTGCAGTGAATGTTTATTGACAAGGATGATAGATAGATTAAAGGTTTTTGAGGGAATATGAATTAGAGTTTTAATAGTATTGTAAAATATTTCGGAATATAATTGTCATATTATAAATATTATTAAAGATAATTTTATTGAGCGTTTTCAGTATTTAGAATTAAATAAGAGATCTCTTACTTAATATTGTAGACTATTTTAAAAAGTGCAATTAACATATTAAGAGAGTTAAAATTTTAGTTATCAAACGAGCTTAATTAATAAGTGTCAAATACATTCATTTTAAGTGTCGAATTTGGGTTAACAAACACACCCTAGGGTGGTATTTTATAAAATTAAAGGCTGAAGTTTGAAAACTGAAAGCTGAATTCTGAAAGTTGAATACTGAATTTGTGGATTGTTTGATATCCACTAAAATTTATGTAATGAATTAAATCAAACTGTTTGATAACTACACAATACTGATGTTTGAAAATAAATTAATTTTTAGTTTTACCCTTCTACTTTTAATTTAAAAATATTTATAAAATATATTTTTATCTAATAAAAAATGACAATATATCAAATCAATAACAAATTGAATAATACAATAACTGAACAATAACAACTAATCAAAAGAAAAAAAAAATAAAAACAAATAAATAATCGAATCACAATAAGTGAACAATAACATCTAATAAAAAAATAATAAATAATAAATAATAGAGTAACAATAAATAAAATAATGAATAAATAATCGAATTAAAAAAATAGAATGAATTAAATCCCATTAATAATATGTATGTGTGCGCAATTTGTGATTGTGTGTGGATAGTTTGGGTGGGTTTGTGTGCAATGCATGTATGTGTGTGTGTGTGTGGGTGGGTGTGCGTTTCAACATATTTATTTGTAGCAGACGGGCGAAGAAAAAAAAAAGAAGAAGAAGAGCACCTATTATCCGAAAAAGATAATTGACAAAGAGGATAGATAGGTTTGGAGTTTTGGAAATAACACTAATTAGAGTTTTGAGGTATAATTGTCATATTATAAATATTATTAAAGATGATTTTATTGAGTGTTTTCAGCTTTCAGAATTAAGTAAGAGATTTTCTATTTAATATTGTAGCCTATTTTAAAAGAGCACTTAACATATTAAGAGAGTTAAAATTTTAGTTATTAAACGAGCTTAATTAATAAATGTCAAATACATTCATTTAAATGATGAATTTGGGTTAACAAACGCACCTTAGGTGTGCCACTTAATATGACCAAAAAAAAAAAGAAAATAATAGTAGAGATATTGCCAATCAACACTATAAAAATCAAATAATGTTTGAGTTAAAGGTATACACTTTTAATCCCGCAAACTTCGCTTTTTTTTTTCAGGTTCATTATTAACTTAGACATTGAAGCGCCTCTGACTGACACACCATGGCAAAATAAACAGTGCAATTCTTATTCATTCTTTTGTGAACAAAACCACAATCAGAAGATAAGAGATCTTTTCTTCTTACACAAATGTTTACCTATAATTTTGGAGGCGTTGCTGTTATTTATGGCAGATTTATGCAAGGGAATAGGGTTGTTTGGCAACAAGAGCTGTTAAAACTTATCAAGGAACAAGCTGTGTTTAACAAGAATGTTCAAGGTCTATCTAATTTTGTTTGAATTTGAATGGTAAGCAAAGTTGTTTTATGATTAAAACATCTTCTACGGGGTTTAATATCAATTTTGAAATATTAGAGAACTAGTTATTCTCTGTGTGTGAAGGTACAGAGTAATAAAAAATGATAAACAATAAACATATTTGTATTTATAACCAAAATCAAATCACAAACATAGAGGAGAGATAAATGAATTTAAGCATCGGTTGTAGTAAGAGTAAGAGGTGGTGGGTGACAATGGTGGTGGTAGGAGACGGTGATAGTTGTGGTGGGTGACAATGACCGTGGTAGCGGCTATGGCAACGGCAGTGCCGGTGGTGGTGGTGGTGATGGAGGTAGGACGGTTTCAAATACTATTTTTTTTAAAAGTACTTATAATAAATAATTTTTAAAAGTACTTTTAAAAAGTCACTTAAAACACACCCTTAAGGACATTTTTTTTCCCTGTTAAATTTAGGGTGTTAATATTAACCGTTAGATTAATTTTAAAATAAAATTTAAAGCAATCTGAACCGCGAAAAATAAAAGTAATTTTATATATCTTTTGAGATTTTAATTGTAAGTTACTTTATTATATAGATGTACTAGTTATTGTCTGTGTTTGAAGGCATGGGGTAATAAAAAATGGTAAACAATAAACATATTTTTGATTTATATCTAAAATCAAATCACAAACATAAAAAAAAAATAAAAAAAAATTTAAATATCAATTTGTAGTAGGTGTGAGAGGTGGTGGGCGACGGTGGTGATGATAAAAAACAGTGATGATTATGGTGGGTGACAATAACTGGGGTGACAATGGCGGTGGCAGTGGTGGCGGTGGTAGCGACGACAATGGTAGTGGTGGCGACAGCGACGACAGTGGCATTGGTGGTGGCAGCGACGACAGTAGTGATGGGGTGGAGGGTAGAGCTAGTGGTGAGGCGATTTCAAACACATTTTTTTTTTAAAGTATTTATGAGAAATAATTTATAAAAATATTTTTAAAAAGTCACTCTAAACACACCTTTAAAGACCTATTTTTTCTATTAAATTTAGGGTGTTAATATTAATTTTAAAGTAACATTTAAAGCGATCTAAACTATGAATAACAAAAGTCATTTTGTTTATCTTTTGAAATTTGAATTGTAAGCTACTTTATTATATAGATGACATAATCGAGTAGTGGATTTGTTTTAGAAAAAATATTTCCTCCTTTTATTTGAGTATATGTTTTTTTTCTTATTTCCTCTTCATGTGTATTGAATGATTGATTAAATAGAACTGCGTAACGTCGTAGCATAACGAATGTTAAAAATTCTGTATAACTTTCTTATTATTAATGAATAGTAATAGTCAATTATAGAAGTATGGTCATTTCACGGATAGCAAGTGTTCTTTATCGAGAACTCAAAATGTACTTCTTTACTGAAAGTTTTGGCCTCAAATAATCTTATTTCCTTAGTCTCCTAAAGGATTAACTAAAAAGCCTAAGAGGTGAACTGTGGACTGAAGTTCCATATCTTAGTAATGTAGAATAAAATTCCTTTTTTTTTTTTTTCTAGATAGAATAAAGAGTAAAACATGCATCGTATAAACATTAACATCAACTTTCTCATTCTAATAATCCGAATCAATTGCTATAAAAGATGACTTATATCTTTATATTTATATTAAAAAAAAAAATTTAAACCATATTCTTATATAAATAAGAAAATTAAATTAAAAAACAATGATAAAATGACAATTAAATTAACAAATAAATGCAAAATGGTCTAAAATTCTAAACTCGAATCAAGAAGGCCAAGTGCCCATGGTCTGAGTCTGAGAAGCTAGAACCGGGTCAGCGGGTCCAGAAAACCGTCACGGTCCGCTGCAAACAACTGTATGCATTTAAATTTTAAAACCCTAATCTCAAGGTTTCAGAGGAGAGGAAGCGAAGGAATTCCCCCACTAGCTCAGTCGAAAGTCCAGGTCTCACGGTAGCTACTCTCTCTCTCTCTCTCTCTCTCTCTCTCCCCCCTCCCCCTCTAAAACTTTGAAAAATATTGTTGTATAATTGTATTACTTTTTGAAATTTCACGATGTTCGCAGCTGCAAGAGAATAGTGTAATCATACTTTCTTCATTTCATTGATTTTATGTGGAGGTTTATACATGTTCAAAACAATTTGTTAGTATATCGATCTGTTAATGCATGTGGAATGGCTCCTCGCTGTTGAAGCAAATGATAGAGATGGAGTTTTTTTGAGTAGATAGGTGAAATTAAGCTATACCCAATAACCAATAATCATGCCATTTGACGAATAAGAGAATAATAATGATGAAACCCTCTTAGAGGACCCGAAGAACACCCGAATTCAAGGCTGAAGATTAACAAAATCAGATTTTAGAGCAGAATTCTTTCCTTTTGTTTATTATTATTATTATTTTTTTTTGGCAATTCTTGCGGTTGGGCTACATAGCTTAAAAAAAAAAAATTATCTCTTACAGCTCGTAGTTGTAAGTCTTTTTCAGTGTAAGATTTGTAAACGTTGAAGTAACTCCAATGAGTAGTAAATTAGACAACACATGGCACATCAATTGGAAAAATATGTCATATATAATCCGATTGTAGAATGAATGAAAATTCCTATAACAAAAATGGTTATGATTTTTTGCGCCAAATAGTTTACCTTAATTGGGGTCATATCTTTGCAAAATTAGCCCAAGCCTAAACCCTAACATTAGGTTTCATGCTCCTACTTTGGACGAAATATGTTGTGGGATCAATTTTTTCAAAGATCAAGGAAGCAGAATTTCAGGTCTGCGACATTTGTGTATTCCAATAAGGAGGATCCGTTCAATGCCATCTGTTAGCTCAATCAATAAGGGATGCCGCTTGGAAGGGTAGAAAGTCTCTCCTTGAGGTTTAGGACTCACATAGGAGAGATAAGATACGGCATATTAGAATAGATTCGATCGGAGCTTTCTTCTATTGTTTATGAGTCTTAGTTTGAATAGAGAAGACGAAAGAAAACTACGAGCAAGCAGAGGCCCTTTACAATTCCAAAAAATCCCAAAGGACTAAATCCAAATTAGCCAATGCTGATTCATTACCCTAAATTTTTCTAAAACCACTCATGACTTTTGTATGTATAATCTAAATCACGAACAAAACATTCTTAAGTATAGGCTGATATACGACAAAAGTAATAGTTATTGGAATTTTTTTTTTATGAACATAGTTATTAAAATCGTATGATTCGCGATTCGATTCGATACAGGTACAAAACGATTCGTATCTTATATGATAATCGTTTTAGAGTTGAATCGCACTTGAATCGTACAATTTGATTCGTATTGCACGAATCGCATGATTCAATCATTTTTTTTTTAAACCCAAATTGTTGGCAAAATAACATCGTTTTATCCTCTAAACAATAAAACGACATCGTTTGGTTTGCTGAGGACCCCATTCCCTAAAAAAAATTTAACCTCGTCGTCTAAAGCTCACCTTGTGTTGTCTAAGTTAAAGGTCACGGCTAACGCTTTCGCATCATCAGTTAATTTTTGTTCTCAATTCTTTCGGGTGTAGTTTGCTAGGGTCTAATTTTTTGTTTCAAAATGTTGGATTGTATGTTTTCTCCCGATCAATTTTCTTATTTGTTCTTTTTTCATTCATGTTTGTAGCTTAATCTATATTGAGTGTCACTATTTTGATTCTTGAATAGTCATGGTTCTTTAATTATTTTTTTTTTTCAAGTTGTTGAATTTAAAAATGTTAAGTAAAAGACGAAAATGAAGCAAAAGGATATTATTTTTCCATTTAGACGACGTGATTATGTCAATTGATTATTTTTAGCAAGCAATAATGTTCAATATTTAATATTTTGTCTATTTTAAATATGTAGTATTTATTTTTATTTTTGTTTAAATTTTGCGTCGAATCTTACGATTCAATACGATTCACGATTCTCAAATATAGGATTCCGATACTGGGTGCTTCGAGGGGGTATTGTACTTTTATGCATTTGTGTTAGGTTAGTATTGACTGGCACCTCATATAGCTATGATACCTTTATACGAGGATTTGTATTTCTCGACCTCACTAAATACTTGAACATTGTATTTCACTATTAATAGCCTTAAAAAACTGAACTTGAGTTCATTGTGAATTTGTTAGTCAATAAATGGGCTTCTTTGTAATGTAAAAACATTCAAATTTTTTGTGATTGTTGAAATTATGGTCAGCGAATAGCAGTTTGGAGAAGTTTGGTGTAATTCCCGTAAACATGTCAGTGCAATTGACGCCTTCCAAGAGACCATATGATCGAAACTTTGCAGAACCAAATGGTCGAGGCAAGTGGCAGAAATTGGGAGCATTTAGTTCACAGAATCCACCATGGAAAATGTTGCCTGGAAGCACTGTATTCCGCTTACTGTGCCCTACTTCTAAAATTGGTAGTGTTATTGGAAAAGGTGGCGACATCATATCACAAATACGCCAGGACACTGGTGCAAAGGTTCGGGTTGAGGAAACTGTTCCCGGCTGTGATGAGAGAATAATTGTTGTTATGGGTGTTGATAAGGAAAGTGAAATCAACAGCGAGCAGAAAAAGGCGGATGGTAAAGAGACTAAAACAACTGAAGACGGCGATGATGCAGATGAAAATGGCGAGGATAATGTAGATAATCAATCTGTTCCTGTTGAAGATTCACAATCTAAGAAGTCAACTTCATCTGTTCAGAAGGCTCTTTTACTTGTGTTTCAAAGAATAGCTGAAGGAGATTCAGAGATGGATGGAGGGGTTGAAGAGAGTAATAAGTCTGCCACAGTTGCTGTGAGGTTACTTGTGTTCTCCTTTCAAGTGGGCTGCCTTTTGGGAAAAGGTGGTAGTGTAATCAAGCAAATGTCTTCTGAAACTGGGGCACAGATTCGGATTCTTCCACGGGACAAACTACCTCCTTGTGCATCTTCCACTGATGAACTGGTTCAGGTAATTTTGGTGATACTTTATTTTATTTCTTGTTTGTCAATGTTGCCATGTTCTAACGCTGTCCATTACATGCAAGGGTATTATATTTCTGTGGTTTGATTGTACTTGATTATTGTTGTCACTTTTATTAGCCAATATTGTGAGCAATGTTGTTAAAAAGCCCTAGTGTTGAACCTTGCTTGCCCGGCTCAAAATGTAGGCTATTTGAATTTGTTTATATTGCTGGGAAGGCATGTGCTTCTATCCCCAAAAGAGATCTTGGGAAGAAATGGGAGTTGTGGAGCTAGAGGAAGGAAATTTTTGGTCCTCCTCCATATTCAAGAAATCCCAATATGCAAAAATGTGAAGGTGAAATAAAAAGTGATGTGGTATAGGAGAACAAAACTAGTTTATGCAATATTCACACATTATACATTTATCAAACAGGGAGATGACTCCCTAATTGAAAATTCACTCAAAAAAATCATTTGTGTAATATCTGCCCTGAGTTGTTCGAAAAAAGAAGAAAAAAATCTACTCTGTATCTGCTTGGATTGACTGCTTGTTATCTTCAGTTTGAGTGTTTAAAGTCATCAACAGGTAACCTGGCCCTTAAAAAGTCTGGTTGGCAGCAGGTTTGTTTATACTATTTTGTTTTGTCGGTATCTTCCAAATGATATTTTTTTAACACAAAGTTTTGTTTGGCCATTTTTTTTGCAGATTTCTGGGGGACTTGATGCAGCTAGAAAAGCTCTTCAGTCTGTTTCTCAACAACTTCTGGAGAATCCTCCTCGGGAGCAGGACTATCTCTCTGCCAATCCCAGTGGGCCATCATCTCATTCCTTTGGTCATCCTCTTTCTAGGCCAGAAGCACACCCACCATCAAACTATCCTTTTCCTGCTCAAGGACCACCTTATGCTGCTGGGCCTCGTGACTTTGAAAGTGGTGTTCCTGGTTGGATGAATCCTTCACAGGATATCCTTGCCTTCCGGTTATTGTGCCAAGATGAGAAAGTAGGAGGTGTAATTGGAAAGGGTGGGACTATAGTCAAGACAATTCAGCATGAGACTGGCTGTGATATCAAAGTTCTGGAAGGTGTAGCTGATTCCGAAGACCGCATAATTGTCATTTCTGGTCCAGCGGTATGATTTGACCTTTGACCTTGATTTGATTTGTTGAATTTGTTTAGTGATGCAAGGGAAGAAATGAGAATGCTGACATTTAATTCAATTCATACAGCATCCTGATGATGAGGTGTCTGCCGCCCAAGATGCAGTTCTTCGTGTGCAGTCCAGGATAGTTCGGGCTATACCGGAAAGCAAAGAAAAGAATGTCACAGCAAAACTTCTCGTCTCCTCCAATCAAATTGGATGTCTCCTTGGCAAGGGTGGAGCTATTATAGCTGAAATGCGGAAGTCATCTAGGGCTTATATTCGTATATTGGGGAAGGATCAAATTCCAAAGTGCGCTTCTGAAGATGAAGAAGTAGTTCAGGTGGGGTTGGATTTGCTTATCTGTTTGGCATATCTTTTGTTGGCATGCCAACGTTGAATATTGATAGTGGTTGAGAGGATATGACCAGTGACTGGTGTTCCTAATTTACCATGATCTTTAATTTACATAATAGTTGGGCGGATGTATTATGTGTGGGTGTAACTTTCTCGTTTCTTACAAATTTTAATCTGATATTAGCTTGTGCTAATGTACTTGTTCCTTGTGGGGAATCTTTTCCTGACAGATAAATGGAGAATTTGAAGCAGTTCAAGAGGCTCTTCTACAGATAACCACTAGGCTGCGGAATCATTTCTTCCGTGATGCATTTCCATCTATCAACCATCCCTTAAATCCTGCCTTTCTGGAGCAAGTACCTCCATTTGCTTCGTACGCAGGAAGGAGGGAATTTTCACCTCAAGGAATGTATTCTAATTTTGGCCCATCATTTCCCAAGTTCGATGCTGCTGGTGGCCTGCCTCCACCGGGTGATTTTCATCCGCATGATGATCACCCTCCTTTTTTGCCCAATATTCACAGACCTGGCATTCCCCCTCATACCTCTGAAAGAATTCCATCTTCAGCGCCATGGGTACCTCAGGTTTCAGTTTGTTATTCCCTTAGTTGTTGAGCTAATTTTACCATATCAAGTTCTTGTTTATGATTGAAATAATCACCTGATTGCCCGCTTCTTGGGTTTATGTTTTCTACTTGTAAGAGTTTGTGCTGTGTATTTGTCATTCTTGCCGGAGCTATTTTGATTTTACTATACATGAATTGTGCCATAGTTGAAATATGAATTACTGTAAAAAAGAATAGGTGCAATATCTTTATGGGAGTGTTTTGGTGAATACTCTTGTGTTTTCAAAACTGGCTTCCCAGGGATTCACTGAACGTGGTGGCCCAATAGGATTGCCAGACTATACAGGAGCTCCCCATAGAAGAATCGGTGGATTTGGAGGGTTTGTACACTGGATTATTATTAAATATTGGCTATTTACATTAAACGCACTTTATATAAAATTGTTTGCTGAAGGCAATTCCAGTACTTCATATTTTTATATCTTGATAATTGTAGAGGAAATCATCCAGCTATTATCACAAAAACCACCGTGGAAGTAGTTGTTCCTCGTTCTGTTGTTCCGGCAATCTATGGAGAGGATGGGGGATGTTTGAAACAAATTCGTGAGGTATAGTCTTTGATCTATATTCATTCTTGGATACTCACACTTTTCTCTTTTGGTATAAAGGGTTTTTTTGGGCCTAGAAATCTCTTGTACATAATCATTCCCTGCTGCTCTATCAGCTTATTTGAACACATTGGATCCTGACATGGTCAAGTATTTGTGAATACTTTAGGCTAAATATTTGTGAGTGCTTTTGGATCCCTTTTGAGGACATTCATATTTTCCTCGGTGCATTATCAATGCTCTCTCTTCGAATCACTTTCAAAATAATGATTCCAAGACTATCTTGAAGTATTCTTCACTCACCTTATTGTTTCTCTTTGTTGTTGCCTTGTTGGAGGCAGTGTTAATACATTATCCATTAAAGTTTTCTTCTTGTTAATGTTAGGTGATGGATTTGTTGAATGAAATTCTTCTATTTTTTTTTCTTATTTGCTCTCCTGAGCTCACAAAAAACTTCATGGAAAGACAGAGAGAGAAAGAGAGAAGTTCTAATTTTCTTTGCAGAAGTCCAGCGTGCGATACCCCGCAAAATATGTAGTTGGCCTTTTCGTCTTCTTGTGTTGACCCCTGAAGAAGCATATTCATTTGCCTAGGAGGGAATGCCAATAGTTTTTTTGGCTTTATTCGTGTTCTCCAATCTAGCTGTGCTCCTTAAACTGTTGATTTGGTACTTTCAATTGCATTGTTGCACTGGTTGTCTATCTTAAACTAGAACCACATGGACATCCTCTATATGGGAATTGATTTCTTCTCTTCAAAGGAACAAATTAGCTTTAGAATGTCCGTGTTGAAAAGTTAAAAGGAAAAAAAACTCCCTGTTAAAACGTCTCATTACACTCTGGGACTTCTTCTTCGAGAACTTCTTTGGCACCTGGCCCCAACTTGGAATGCCTGTCACGTTTGGGAATATGACCTTAATTATTGTTTAAAGAAGTTTGATTATTGATACATCCAATTGAATTTTAAACCACTTTACTTTTCATTGTTGTTTAAAGTTTTTTTTCCCAGGATTTCCTTGTTTGGTTACGCTAAAATTCCAGTGTGTATCTTCCTTTGAACTTATTTTTTGTAATCTAAATGAAGCTGTTGTTTCACGCCAATACCATAGCCAGAAATTGATTTTTGGGGACCATAACCCTTTATGTTCGCCTCTTTGGCTGTTTTAAAGCCGTTCTGTAGTCATTGATGTAATTATTGCGAAACTTAGCACCTGGTCGGTGGAAATTCATGTTTTTTTTTTCATTACATTGATTATAATTTTTTATAGATTGACATGGTTAAAGCTTTCCTAAATCTGGCTACTGAAGGAACTGGAAGTGTATCTAGCCCAGGAGAGAATTTCAATAAGTATGTCAGTGCCTGGGGGTACATTTTGGGGGACACTGCAGAGACCTACATTTATTAATCACATATTGCACCGACATGACATGGGTTGTGTTTGAATTCATGCAGCCATGCCTTGTGAGAAATGTGTTCTCATTTGGTGAAACACTGGCCTGAGAAGCCGTAACTCTGCTATAAAAAGGGATCTGCCAGAAAGACCAATTATTTTATCCTTGAATAAGTGAGGCCAAAAAGATTTAAGGGCTCAAAGGTGTTCTATTGTTCTAAACTGAAACGGAGAAACCCATTTCATTCCTGTCTGACCGTTTATGCAGCCCAGTCTAGATCGTAGGTTGGGGGGCCTTTATAGCACTCGGTCAAACAATCATACATTTTTTTGCCTGTGATGTGGTATAGCTTGACATTGTAAGCCAACATTCCTGTCAAGAATGAGAACCTATTTGGAAAACTAATTCTGCAAAAGAACATTTTTGTTGAAGATTTTTTGACTGATAATACATGATATCATTAATTCTATTATTTTTAAGCTTTAATTTAAATACTTACATTTCCACCAGAATTTGCGGTGCCAATTTGTGAGTAATGAGATAATCATGCCTTGAGTTTTTCCTCCATATTAGCACCTTAATTTTTGCATGCAATATCCCAACACTAATTGTGGTATATGTCTTTGGTCTTCCATAATAAATCTCTGTCAGTTATTCTGCAAACCTCGATTCTTGTTTCCTGTATTGTTAAACTGCTCCACTTGTGCATTATCACATTTTCACTACTCAAATTTTTCATGAATTGTGTATTAGATATATGAATATGCTTTTAGATTTCATGAAATTTTGATTGAATGCTATTATACTTTTTTTACTTGGTAAATACTCCTGTGTCGATTTAGTTGACAACTTCAATTTGACACTATTTTAGATTTCGGATGCAAAAATTACTGTTACTGAGGCCAAACCTGGAGCAACAGAAACTATGATTATAATATCCGGGACACCTGAGCAGACAAATGCTGCACAAAGTCTAATTCAAGCATTTGTAATTAGTGAGACCGAAGCATCTTGATCCTTGATATGGAGGTAATGTGAAGCATCTTGTTCTATTCGGCTGCAAATTTGAATGCACTCTTCTGTTCACAAAAGAATAACATCTAGCTTGTAGTAAAGGATAATATATATCTTGTATTTCAGTTGTGTTGTTTTGTCCTCAATTATTTCAACTATTGTATAGATATTCAACTAATTTAATGTGATACACAAGACTTAATCGTTGCTATTTTGTGCTTGCTAATTCAGCTGAAGACTCTGTTCTGTGGAGAATGCAGGTGTTCGTATTTTGTAGTTTGCTGTGTACAGTGAAACTTGTTCGAACTTTGCTAGGAACAGGCTCCAGACTTTTGCTGATTCATTTGATTGCCATGGAAAGAATGCCTGTTCAGTTATCACCTGAAGAGCTAGATCATTTGTACTTTTTGTGGCCATGAGATCTAAGAAAGGAAAAAGAGAACACTATTTTGAATGGATTTTTAATAAATGACAAGTAGAATTGAATGCTCATCCAACTGATTCCCCATGTGTGTGCATGCATGCTCTAGTGTGTGTTATGTTCTATTACTTGAGTTGATTGCAAAATGTATGGCTCAATAAAACTGATTTCTGTAATGATTTGGTGGAATTCAGAAAAACCATGTAAATGTATGAGGAAATAGGTATAAGGTATCTGTCTTTCAGTATTTTTGATTAGGAAACAAAAACAGAGAAGGGAAAACATCATTCCTGAAGTGGTCTTTTCTTGATATGGTTCTTAGAAGATCATCATTGGCAGAGTAGCAAGCCAATATGCATGACCTTTTTTGTGTTCTTTGCTTTTCATAATGCAAGAACAGAAAACCTTAATTTGAAAGCTGCCCCGGGCATGACCACCGTTCAAGTCATCTCACAAACTTTCAAATCTTTCAAATGAAAACTTCGTTTCTCTCTTGATTCAGTTAGATATTTTCGAATGAATGTTTACTGGTTATCAACTCGAACTATGTTCCACGATTTCATTTGACTACATGATCTGCTATATGCATTATATGTGCATTCTACAAATTGTATGTATTTGGCATTGGCTACATAGAAGCTTATTAATGGCTCTTCCAAAACTCATTTATTTTGGCTACAGAGCGGATTCTATTGAATACCCGAATACTTTTGTTTATTACAGCTACATTGCTATCTGTTTTTCCTGTGGCTTGAATCTACTTCTTTGCCATGTTTTGTACCCCGAAAATGTCTGTATTTGAAACGAAATGAAAATCTATAGATATAATATGTATCAGCGGTTATATGGGTGCTTGCGATTTGTGTTTCCAGAGGCAATTCCTCTGACTTCATCCGGATTCCATCAGCTTGGAAGTGGTTTTTGGTGGCTTTACTTGCTGTTTTGCTGGGGTTTTCTGCTTTTGTAATGAATTATATGACTAGCCATGGATTTACCCCAACCCTGTAAGAGAAACAAGCTTTGTTCTGGTTTGTGTTTCCCAATTGAGGCATATTTGTATTGCGTTTTGGTACGAGAAAATGTCATGAATTACAGGTATCTGAGCCTGGTGCTCGATCAAAAGCAATTTTGAATCTTCAAGGTGGTGTGAGGTGTATTTATTGAGTCGAGCATTTCAAGTTTTGGCATGTTTTCTCGACTTGAGTTGGCTGCAGATTCTTTAGCACTCGTACCTTTATCATGGATTAACTAGCACCAGGAGTGGCTTCAGTAGCTTATACAAGGTACCTCCTGTGGTGGGGGAGGCAAAGCACCAGTGGCAGCATCAATATTGACATAGCCTTTTTTTTCCCTACAAGAAAGAAAGAACAGATACTGAACTAGTAAATACAGTTGAGTCAGGGTTTGACGTCCAGATCATATGCTCATGTTTACCTTGGCTCGGTTAGCTCATCCCAAAAACATACTATTGATTTGATTATTAAATTAAGGTTTTTGCATTGTTATTTTTTTTTTTTACCAACAAAAATTGTTTAATCTTATGTAATATTAGTTGATTTTGAGAATAGTGATCCGAGTGGCATATTGTTCGACTGGACTTGAATATCTATATAATAAAGTATCTTATAATTTAAATTTTAAAAAATAAATAAAATAATTTTTGTTATTCACGGTTGAGATCACTTTAAATTTTACTTTAAAGTTAATTTAATGGTTAATATTAACACTCTAAATTTAATAAGAAAAATAGGGTTCTAAGGGTGTGTTTGTAGTGACTTTTTAAAAGTATTTCTATAAATTATTTCTCATAAATACTTTTAAAAAAAAAGTGTTTGAAACCGCCTCACCACCACCACTACCACCGCTGCCATCGCCACTGTTACTATCACCGCCACCATCGCCACTGCCACTACCACTGTCGCCACCGCCACCACCACTACCACCACCGTCACCTTCACTACCTCAACAACAACTGTCGCCACCCCCACCACCATCGTTACCGCCGCCACCACTACTGCCACCACCGTCGCTACCACCACCACCACCCACCATTACCATCACTGTCTCCTTCCACTACCACTGTCGTCCACCACCTCTCACTTCATTACAAATCAATGTTTAAATTTCTTTATCTTTTTTCTACGTTTGTGATTTGATTTAAGATATAAATATAAATATGTTTATTGTTATCAATTTTTATTACTTTGTGCCTTCAGGCACAGGTAATAACTAGTCTATATAATAAAATAGTTTATAATTCAAATTTTAAAAGATAAACAATATGACTTTTGCTTATCGCGGTTCAAATCGTTTTAAATTTTACTCTAAAGTTAATCTAACGGCTAATATTAACACCCTAAATTTAATAAGAAAAATAAGCCCCTAAGGGTGTGTTTGAGGAGATTTTTTATAAGTACTTTAAAAACAAATTGTGTTTGAAACTGCCCCACCACCACCACTCCCTCTACCACCACCGTCGCCGTTGCCGCTGCGACCCTCGCGATTCCCACCACCACTGTCGTCATCGTCACCACTCCCACTACAATCGATGTTTAAATTCATTTTATTTCTCCCTTATGTTTGTGATTTAATTTTGAATATAAATACAAATATGTTTATTGTTTACCATTTTTTATTACTATGTGTCTTTAGACACAGAGAATAACTAGTTAAATAAAATTGTATAAAACAATTATATTTGATTAACATTGTGATATAAATAAGTTTGAACGTGTCAAAGCTAAACTGAACTCGAATACTTTGGTCCCTTTAATAGTCCTACAAAGAGTTTATGTACCTAACATATATTTTTACTTATTTTTGAAATACTTATTAAAAATATTATACAATTCCATTGCCATGACAAAAAATATATGTTTTTTACTTATTACTGAGTTTTGAAGGGCTTGTAGGTCTTGACATCTTGGGCCAGTCCCTGTATGGACCCAGCAGCAGCAACAAGTGATACTACAAGGCAAGCCCAGCTCAGGATTTTCAGCCACACCCAGGTGAATGAAAACTTGGGTATTTTTGATTGAGCAATGTACATCTCTATGGGGAAGTACACAGTCAATGGAAAGAATGAGGCAGCTCCGATCAAACCCAGGAAGTCATTGAAGAATGGAAATATCATGGCCACCACGGCAGTGACGATCACGTACGACGTTCGCCACACCAGCCGGAAGAAGTTGATGTAGTATGTTCCGATTATTGGGACGTTGACGGCATATTCGTTGGTTATGAATTTGTTTTCTGGCCATTGCTTAGAGCAACGAGTCTCGACGAACTGGAATATGGGTTGGCAGAAAACCTGTGGTGACAAAATTAACAAGATTGTCACGATTCTTCAATTGATCCCAAACACTTTGTGTGAACAAACGAGTCGAACTTAAACAGTTTGATACTTAGTTTGGCTCGGTTCAAAGTAAGCAAAGGAATTGAATATACCTGGTATGCACCTATGAGGTGGATGGCAATGAAAATGTTAGCAGCATCAATAAGCCAGAATGGGTCATAGAAACCGAAACCAGTGAGGAAATTTCCAGGAGCATGATTTCCAAATGCTGCATAACCTACGCAACCACATAGAACATAGAACAAAGTGGTGGTTGAAACTCCGACTAGGGAGGCCCTTTTCATGACTTTGTTCTCTGCTGGGTGTGATCTCAATGTGTCCTGCAACAAAAAAAAAGTGATAATCGATCGTGTCATTTTTAAATTAGTGTCGTGTTGGGTTTGTGTAGATAGGTAAAATTGACATTGACACCCCTATGGCCCTACCTCTGGTGTAAATGAGGGCCCTAAATTATTATAGTTCATTTAAAAATGTACGACACCAAGGAAGAGAGTTAATTAGAATTGTGTGCTAACATGTTCAGATCGTATTATTTTGTATTTGTGTCATATTTGAATTGTGTTGTTTTAGGTTCGTGTATAATATTTATGTAATTCATGAAAGAAAAAATGACATGATTAGTATCTCTATTTCAATAAAATTTACTAACACATTGACTCCCCATAAATTAGCAAAATCAAATAAAAAAACTATTTAATTCTACAATTTATATAATACTAGACTAATAATTGAAAAAAAAAAAGACATTTTCTTCATTAAATAAGTTTCCCATGTCAAAATGATACTATTCGTACTTGACAGTAGCTTAATTTATCTTTGATACCTAATAAACATGATATTTTCATATCATGTTGAAAATTGTCACCCCTACAATTAGTCTTGTCAATTAATTGGGTTTGGATTGATTTTTGATTGATCCGAATCTAAATCCAACTTTAAAAGTTTGATTCGAATCCTATTTTATAATCTAGTAAATTTTATTTTCGCAGTTCATATCCGAATCTGTTAACAATTTAAAATTTGATCTCCGAAAATTCAATTTGATTTGAATAGCTTAATTTAAATAAATTTTAACAAATTACATCTAAATTTCTTCAAATAATCGCTTAATTTATTTAATATTTTATACAAAAAATATATGAATATTCCGGATTGAATCATAATTGAATCGGATATGTGTATATCTAAATTTGAATCTATGAAATATAATATATCGGATTTGAATAACCGATAAAAAAAATATCAACCCATATCCGACTAATCAGATTCGAGTTTAAGTTCGGGTTGAGATTAAAATTCGATCCATTAACCACCCTACCTACCATATCAAGGTGCTCCATCCTAACTCGGCATAGAAATTTGGGCTTTGAGCCTTCTATTCTTGGGCTTGTGTTTTAGTCATTTGACTAGTGTCCAAGCCTAGTGGTAAAACTAGAACTACAAGAGCTTAAAATTCATTGTCTACAACGACAAAAAACGAAGTCCTCACTCGTCCTTTTAAGGTTCATTCCCTTTCCATCCTATAAAATCCAAGCTTTGTGCAAGGATTTATTGAACATGTAGCATGAAGACAATAAGGGAGCAGGTAAAGTAAAAACTGAGGATACTCCTAAGAATTGGCTATGACAATAGGGATCAAAACGAGAAAACGGTTGAAAAACTCTTTCGTTAGGTTATATATGGAATGAGATGAAGGATTTAGTCAACGAACGCCTCTCTAAGACAAACAACGTTGTGGAATTCTGTAATTTTGAGAAGTTTGATGTTTGGAGGAGAGAAAATCAATCAAGGATATATCGTTGAATTATAAAACGGAAGTAGTTTCATCTTTATTTTGAAGCGATATTTCTCCATTGAATCATGAAATTCTCATTGATTTCACGGTTAAGAGTGTTTATATCAATTTATGTATATCTCGGTTAATCCATTCATTAGTCTGATTAAAGTCAAACTATTTACGTCGGGACTAAGGTATTCATGGAAAATATATATCTTATGACATCATTCTAAGAAATTGTCAAGATTCAAACTCAAGATTTCGAGTTTACAATTCGTCTCTATTACCGTTTGAAGTATCTTAATTATGGATGTACACGTACCAATCTTTTCGGTGTTTCTTGTGGGCCAAACTTTTGGATAAATAAGTGGGCCATATTAAAATTTCAGGCAATTGGGAGGTCCCACTTAATAATACACAGGCAGGTAGTCATGTTACTGATATAAACACCCACAAAAACATGTCAAGTTCGCCAAACATTTTCTTGTCCAAACAGATTCCTATTTCTCATGGCATAATCGTGACTGGCCCACATAAATCAATCAGACCCGCCAATTGAATGACACGTATAAGATTTGACAGTATCAAATTTGACACCATGGTGGTCAGATAACTCACAAAAAAGAAAGATTAATTGACAAAAAGGCAATGCAGAGCTTTCACTTTTTTGCGGAAAGGCCAAACACAAATGGATGGTCCCAGAAGCTGGAAGTTTGTGGTCCATCAATTCAATGGTCCTTGAGGAATAATTGTTACACCGTCATGTACAGTATAAAACCCTGTAAAGAAACAATACGACAAAGCTATTTTTGGTCCCAACTCCTTGTTTGGCAGAAAAAAAAATAGCTCTCAAGTCCTTATCAAGTCGGTGCATTCACATGGAAGCATCTTGGTCTGGACCAATTATCTCTTTAGATGGATCAGGGGGCTCAAATTCCATCTGATTGTTCGTTTTTGTTCTCTTTTCTTTTTTTAACCAAACTCTTTTTAGATTTTTTTTTTATTTGAACGTTGGGGATGTTCAGAGTAACTTACATGCACCTCAATTCACTAATCTCTTTAATTTGGTTAAATGTATATTATTTACTCCGGAACTAGGGTATTCATGAGAGATTATCAAGATTTATCATGGTATGACTCTAAAAGATTGTCAAGATTTGAATTCAGAACATTTGAATTTACAGTTCGTCCCCGGTACCACTTGAACTTCCTTTGAAATTATCCCTCATGCCATTTTTACATTCACAACTGGGACATACATCTAAGATAAGTACAATCACTCACAAATTAAGTATAATGATTGAACTTAAATTTTTAACGACAATCTAAGCTACTCAAACTCTAAATATATGAATTTATGAGTCGCCCTTTTATTCGATTATTGAATGAACCCACAGATGTTTATTTTCTCTCATTATTGGTCAAGTGGATCCAAACTTAGGGTCCTGCAACTAGGACTCAAAACACATCATGTTACATAAGGTATTTAATGTTCGCCATGTGAAGACAGTGGCTGTGCGGATAGCTGTGAAGTGAAGGACTTGTTTAATTAACAAATAGACACAAACAACTAGTATGAACATGGTGGGCATCTCTCTCTAGTTTCCATGTCATTCATCTTAGAAGGACACGCCACCATATCCAGTTCAACACTAGGGTGAAAAGCCAACATGTGGCAGAACACATATATAGATACATATAAACACACACACAAACATATATATATATATATATATAGCTTTTATCTGTGTATTAACAGGGTCCATAAGAGCAAACAGTGTGCTATTCATTTAATAAGGCACACATTTCAAGTATATATATACGTATTAGACAGAGGATCAGCTTTAGATTTTTCTGCTCCGAATATAGGACTCTGCATGGATCCAACATGCCATGTACGTATGTCACATGCAATGTGAAAACAACATATTTAATGCACAGTAACAGAGAAGAAGATAACTAACCCAAAAAAAACCAGTAACAGAAGACGATAGAATTGGCTTACCTGTATTTCAATCAGGACGGTGGAGTAGGCATAAGCAAAGGCTATATCTCCAATGGCTTGGAAGGTTCTCCAAACCTTCTCTGATGCTGACACGTCCACCCCCACTGTCACCCCTGTTAGGGCTGTCCTCGCATGTCCATTATCTTCACCATTCATGGACCCCAGTGTTCATTAGTTTAAAAATAATAACAGGTAATGTTAGTAAGATTTACTTCTATCTCTTTTGATAGAGTTATGATTCAAAAAATCATGCTAGTTACAACAAAACAAAGGGTTAAAATTAGCTACACCTCTTTTGATACAGTTTCATAGTACATGGACCAGGGTGTTGAGGTTAAAACAAATAAACAAGATAACACTGAAATTTAAGATCAAGTTACATCTTAAAAATGTTCGTTTTAATTGGAATTAAGTAATAAGAAAGAGTTGATATTGATCTCAAATAAGCTCATGCACTACAAGAATAAGGGTATTTTGAAATAATTTTTTTGTGGCGGCATGCTTCGTCATAACAAGTGGAACCTCAAAAGTTTTTATGGTGGCAACGGTAGTCTCAAATAGTATTTATAACCGTAAGTAACCTTTTTACTATAGCACTATTGTTACATCCTTTTTTTCTTTCAAAACATGTTTTTTTTGGACAGTCAAAAATAAAATTGTTTTAGAAAATCTTAATTCTTGTAATAATATTAGATTGAATTATAAATTATCAAAAGTAACTATTTCATATTATAATACTGTTCATGATCTAATAAACCAGTGGATCAATGGACACCTGTGTGGTACTTGTAATCTTAGAGGTTTTGGTTCTCACCTGCAACCTTGGCTATGGAGAGTCCAAGACCAATGGAGGAATAAGCAAAAGACATGACAGCTGCTAGAATAGAGAGCCATGAGAGCTTGTGGAAGTTAGGTATTTGACTCAGAAGAATCTGGATGGTGGCAAAGATTATCATGAAGGGATAGTTCGAGATTGAGCACTTCACATGATGGCCATGTTTGTGGAAACAATTTGACCTCTTGACGGCCCTGATGAGATCAGACCATTACAATAAAAAAACCATCATTAATTTTCAAAGAAATCATTATACAAATACTGTACATAAGTCAATGGTCATGGAGATTCAATTTTTTTTTCAACAGTGTTATGATTAATTTATGTGCTTCTCAACTAATTTCTTTTCCGGTTTGATAGAAGATAGATCTTCCATTATGAATTCATGAATAAGACTTATAGTCGAACGAGGTCGAGTTGAACCTTAAAACTTATTTTCTTAACAGAGTTTAAAAAATTATTTAAATTCAGTTCGTTTAGAAAACGAGTCAAGTTTGTTGGGTTCATTTTTTAAACGAGTTTAAAAAATTATTCAAGTTTGAATTTTTTAAAAAACGAATCAAAGCGAAGTTGAACTCAAGTAGCTCGATTTAATTAACAGCTCTATTCATAAGGAATAAATCTCTCATAGTCTGACCCCAAAAAATTATTAAAATTTAAATTTAAAACGTTTAAATTTACAGTTCGTCTTCATTATCATTTAAAATACCATGGGTTGATTCAACATTTTTTTTTTCGAAAGAGATGGGTCATTTGGATACTCACACCATACTGATTGATGATGTTATTGTGTATCCAATAGTCACCCCTACGAGGTTTCCATACTGAGCTAGTCCACATAGCTGAACCTTCACGCCTCCTGAAAAAAGAAAAAAAGCCATTAGCCACGTTATAAATCCCTAATTACTCTAAAAGTTTAAATTATCATACGAGATGCTATAAATAATTATATATTTCAACATGTTTTCTCACTTGCGAAGTAAATATTGAATCACACGTGTCAAATTTGAATTGTTATAATGACGATGAGATTAGTATTTCACATAACATATTAAACCATGATCTAAAAACTTCTAAACGCATTTCATTAACTCTATGCGTTTATTCATTAGAAGAAGAACAAAAATAGTCCTTAGTTTTGAGTGTTTTTGTTGAGAAATTACCCAAGTGAGCTCTCACAACGTCCATGTAGGTGTAGTTTCTCTTGCCGGTGACGGGGTCCGGAGACCTATAACAATCGGCGAGGAGGGTGGAAGTGAAATATGTGATGAAAGAGAAGGCCATGAGAACAGCTGGTCCAGCTACCCAACCCAACTGAGCTATAGCCCATGCTAGAGAGAGCACTCCAGACCCAATCACAGCAGTTATAATATGTGCACTTGCAGTCAGCAAAGTTCCTTCAAAACAAAGCAAATCCCCAGAAAAACAGGTCGACTTGATCATAGTACATGACATATATACAAACATATATTTATCTATATACAGAGAGAGAGAGAGAGAGGGGGGGGGGGGAGCAAATCATTTTGAATACCAGTTCTTTTAACGCGACCATCATCATCAAAGTTCTTGCGGATATCACCCTTCTCTAAGGTTTCTGTGGCTTGTTCTACGTACATGGTGTTCTTCTGAGCCATCTCTCTCTCTTGCGGAGAGTTTGGAGTTGGGTTGTAGAAATGGTTAGGGAAGAGAGCAGATTTAAAGGTGTGAAATACAAGAGGATCAAAACATTGGAGTAAATATCGGGTGTAACGGCGATGTCACGTGGTATAATCGTTAATCATAAATAAACAAGTGAATTTACTTTTTAAATATGTAACGGTTACTATCCTACATAAAAGAGTGATTATTTGAAATAATAGGGTTTATTTTACTCGTTTATTTATCTATTATTAAATAATTATATCACGTGATAATAAAGATGTAATGAAACTATCGTACCTAATATTTTTTCCACAAAGTAAGCAGGAAAAAATGGTAAAAGTAATATGAAAGTCAAATAGCAATATGTATGGTCTATAAGAATCCAAGGAGAGAAACATAAGTTCTAGTATTGCCTTTTCTCAACTATTTTATATGTTTATTTTTTGTTATATCGAAAAGTAACTATTTTATATGCTGGAGATCAGCAATTGGCCGAATACATATTCTCGTCTTTGAGAGCACGGGGTCGAATTTTGTTATCCCCTCCTTATAATCATGCTTTATACACAAAAAACAGAAGGTATTTTATAAGTTCAAATGTTTAAAAATTTAGACATAATTATGTATAGGTTAGTCATAGGTTTTGATTTGAATGATTCCGAGGGTTTTTCACCGTAGATGGTGCGGATTCTCTGGTTTTCTTGGCCTTCAGTGTCCTACTTTTGCCTTTGAAATTCGGTCCAAACCATTGAAAATGAAGCATTTATGCTTTAACAACCCATTACCCATCCACTGAGTTTTCAAAGTTAGCAAAAAGATATCTGCGCTGACTCCAGTCTTTCTCACACTTCCGAAGTCGGCTGAATATTCTAAGGGTAGGTCGTTTTAGAATTAATATTAGATTAAATTGGGTGGTGTCAAAATTTATTCGAAAGAGAGTAAATATTATAATTAGTTTTTAAATTTTATTTTTTATTTTAAAATGGTTTTTTAATTTTTAATTATCTCAATTTAATTATTTAATTATCAATTTTGTTTTAACTAAATTCAATAACTAGACCAAACATCATTACATGAAACATATATGCTCACATGACAAACATGTGGTCTGTCTCTGTTTGTTTTATCAATTAAAATTGATAGAATAATTTAATTAATACGAAATTGATAGTTAAAATATTAAATTAAGACAACTGAGATTTAGAAGGCAAAGTTGGAAAACTAATTATAATATTTACCCTTTTAACATATATCTAATCTTATATATAGTCCTGTATAATAACATTCCCTTGTATCATGCAAGATTCGTTTTGGATTTATTTTAGTTTGCATCAACCTATTTCTTAAAATTGTGTTTGGTGGGTACATTTGTTCGGGTTCGACTCCCCTCCGATTTCTTAAGAATTAAAAAATTCTCCAGTTCTCTTTGAATGATCAGGATCTATACAAACAAGCATAATTCGTTGATTCAAAAAATTTTCTAAATTTTAAAAATCTAAACTTTACTAAATCGTGAGTGGACGATACAATTTATAGAGTTAACGTCGGTTGAGTTAAGTGGAAGAAAATATATTGTATAGAACGTGATAAAAGAATATCAATAAATTGAAAAACAAGTTTTCTCGAACAGCTATAAGGACAATAAGGTTGTATGATACGAAATGTTGAACAATTAAGAAACAACATAGTGACAAAATGAGTGTAACGGAAATGAGAATTTTAAAGTGAATGTGTGAAAATACTAGAAATGATAGAATACAAAATGATCATATTAAAGAAATTGTAGGAGAAGTTTCAATTGAGAATAAGTTGAGAAAGAATAGATTAAGATGATTTGGTCATGTTCAATGGAGGCCGAATATATTTTCTTTTAATGGTACTAACAGTAGAGATAGACCTAAATTATCATTGAACGAAATAATAAAAAAATATTTGAAAATATTTAACTTAAATGAGCGTATAGCACACGATCAAAATAAATGACGAATATGGATTCATATAGTCGATCCCAAATAATTGAGACATAAGACTTGATTTGGTTGATTAATTGGAATTAAATCGTGAGTACAAATCTTAACCATTCAAAAGAAAATTAAAAGATCCTCCAATTCTCGTAAACTTGAAGAGGAACCAAACCCGCATTCGTTTACCATCGGAGTCCGACTAACTTCCTCGGCATGATCTAGTATAGTGGTCCTTGATTCTAGGCGTATCTTTCTTCTTCGCCTTTCGGCACCTTAAGAAATCATTGCCCCACCTCTATCTTTGTTACGTAAAGGTTTTGGTGTCTGAAATTTCAAACCTGCCTTAAGAACTAGCAAAGACAAAATGATTCTAAGCCTTCTTTTGAGGTATTTCAAAGGTTTTGAAGAGAGATTAGTGGGGTTTATCAAACCAAATTGACCCTCTGTTCAGATTATTTGACGAACGTCCGCGGAGTAGAAGAATATGTATTCACTGCAGCCACTAGCTCGGTGCATGCACAAAGACAATTCTAAGGGACGGCTTTCAAGGAGTCACTTAGTCCCTTTCTTCCGTTTAGTAAAAAAGGGATTGACTTAGTTGGTTCATTACAATCTCTTTTACGTATCACCCTCCAGCGGATCGGCCACTCTAGGAGACCACAACATCATTTCTTGATGTATTAATACGCGTGTTTTTGTCATAATAGATATAAATTTTACTAATAAAAAATGAAGACATACAATATAGCTCAAGCACGGCCATAGTATCAATACATATGTTAATTTTTTCTGGTTAAAATCACCTTTTTTTTTGGGTAAAATCACCTTAAACATAAGGGTGTTTGCCTCTAAATTGGTACACTTATTTGAGTATTAATTCATCCTTAATCAGACCCATCAAGGCTGGTTCGTATTTTTATATTTTGGCTTCACTTGAAGCGTATCGATCATAATAACCAGCTATACTATTCTTTTAACTCGTAAAATTAATTATTGGCCTTGAAATGGATAACTAGTCTCACTTGTATGCATAAACAATAAGCACTTAATCGATTGACCTTCCTAAATCTTTTTATTAGAGTTATTTTTAATATTTTATTGGGTTTAAGATTGAATTTGACTCGGGTTTAATTCGATTTTCATTAAGCTAGTGACCAAAAAATAGAAAATTGTCCTTGTTCTTCACTAGACAACATTGTTTCATGATCTTTCGATTGTGGCTTGGTCATCACTTTACATTCTTCATTATGTTCAGAAATTGTATTGCCCCCACCATGGGGCACCACCATTGTGATCACCGGAAAGTCATATCGCAACAGCACCGCCACAGCCGCCCCACTGCCACTCTTTGGACCTCATCTGCTGCTGTCACCACCATTTGATTGGTGAGCCCTATCTCCGGATGCTGGTAACGAACAAACTTAATTATCAGGTGGATGTGAGTGAAAAATGAAAGACCAGACTGCAGTCAAGTAGAAGAGACGACAAGTCATTGTTAAACAGCATACATAGGTATCAATGGGATGCTGATATTAATGTCTCAAAATAGCAACATAATCCTCAAACATATTAATTTCTCTTGTCCGAACTCAACCGTACAGAGGCAAAGAATAATACATAGAAAAATTGACTCATAATGATCACGTGTCACCTGACTCTCCTGAATTTAAGTAATTGACAGAACCCTTGTGTTAGTCTTTCCTTATAGGGCATAGTCGGTTATAGAATCCAATGATAGCATTGTACTATGTCCAATTAACATTATTTGTTAAATGTAATATCGTGAATCATGTTTTGTCGTGTTTTTAAGTTATGTTTTATAAAACGTGTTCTAACTATACCCGGTCTATTTGTATCGCCTTGTAAGTTGGGTAGGTGTCATGCATAATCAAATTCATGTTATGTCTAAATCTCTATAGTAAATGAGTTCAATAATAAAATTGTCTATCACCCCGAACACCTTAAAGCCAAACCAAGGCTAGTCTAACCACTAGGTCAATAAAGTCTGAGTTTTAAACTTCACTTTAAGAAAAATTCCATAATTTTTAAGTGTGTAGTAATAGTCCAAACAAAAAATATAAATTTATAAAAAATAGGCTCAACAGACACTTAAATTTAAGTTCAAACAAAAGATTTCGACCAGAGTTGATTGGGCCTATTAAAATTAAAAGGCCTTAAAATTACAAAGAAAAAAAGCTAATAATAAAACTAAAACTACTAAAAATTAAGTTTTAACCTCTAAAAAAAGTCAAATTTAAATTTACCATTATAATTTTTCAATTATTCTTCCCCCCCCCACCCTCTCTCACCATCAAGTTCAACTATGATAATAAAAACTTAATTAATATTTTTACATTTCAAGAAATAAAAAATAAATTTATTATTAATATTAAAAAAAGTCTCATTGTTTTCACTTTATGCCTCAAAATGTATCAGGCTACCTTGGGCAAAACTCATTCCTACTAGCTTTGTATGAATTTCGTATAAGTTGATATGTCGTATATTAAAATTTTTTAATTCTAACCAAAACTCTCTCTCTCTCTCCCTTTTTGTCCTTTGATATATACACATATATTCAACATAAATTTCACCATTAGATTAAATAAAAATTATAATGGTAATATCACATTATCAATAATACGTGATTTCACGACAAAAAAACAAAAAAATAATTATGTATTTATCCATTGTAATAACAAAAAACTTGATATTGGCAATTGGCAATTGGCAATGACATTTACTATTCAATAAAAAAGTTATTGGCTATGAACGGATCAATGAGAGGATGGTGGGCGGACAGATGACAAAAGAACAATAAATGAGAAAGAAGAGTCATGTCCCCGTCGGTCGAAGCAACCCATGGGCATGTAAAAACATTTCTTTGACAATGATGTCAAAACAAACTTAGTTTTTTCGTTAGGTAAAATCAAAACAAAGTTGAGAGTATCTTATCAGTAAATGCTTCAGGCTGCCTACAGCCACATACAAAACTGTCCAAGCCTTTGCTTTTTTTTTTTTGCTTTTTAAGAAAGGAGGACGATACTGCCAAGTTTATAAAGTAACTCTCGTTTGTGGCTGAGGAATACCGTGGTTACAT